CTACAAATGGCGAGAATAAAAGACGCAATAAAACAGGAGTTGATCCAAATACAGGCATAAAGTATTGTGTTAATTGTGATTAATTTTTGTGAAATAAAAAATCGCAGCACAGAACAGAACAGTACACTATGCAGCACACTATGCAACTTGAACAGCACACTGTGCAACTTAACTGTTTGATGGAAACCATTTCATTCGTCCTTTGTTCACTGCTTGAAGACAAGCATACGGTCTCCGCTACACTATCAGTCCATCCTTAACTAAATCTACCCTTAAACCCTTAACTAGACCCTTAACTAATTTTTCTTTTTTGTAGTTCCGATGAAAGAACAAACCGGTGAAGCAGTTAAAATAAGTATAAATCCCTGGCGTATCAGGCCACGATTCTCGTTGGTGAGGAAAGCACCATCGTTTTCGCGATCTTCAAACTTCAACGCGTAGACATTTTTCTCAGACTGCGGTAATTTGAGTTCGACACTCAACCGAGTTATCAAATCCGTCAGTACTTCATTCTAAAAGTGGACAGATCGATGTATTCTTGGAACTAAACGTCTAATGATTGATCAACATGAATTGCTTTAGAAAATTAATGTTTGGAGGGAAAAATTAAAAACTCACCTCACAAGCAAACAAGAACTTGCCTCCTTATCAAAAGTAACATAGGTCCAAGTGATCTCTGATCCAGTCTCTGGTGGTAATTCATCGCCAATGTATTTCCTAACGCATGGATCCAACTTTACCGCTCCCTAAAACACGACAAAAAAATTGGCCACAAATACAAACTGTCAAAAAAGCATGTGAACTAAGACTGTACAGAGCTGCAATTGCTAATATGAATTTTTAAAAAAACCAAAGTCTGTCCAACGAAAATGCATGGAAATTTTTTTTCTTGCTCAGTTTATAGTTCAGTTTCTTTTTTTTTTTATACAGCTAAGGGATGAAACACAGACTGCATCGAAAAATATCACCCCACTACATTTAAAAGACAAAGGCAATTTGCACCATAAAATAACACCTTACAAATGGCCTGCGTACAATCCTGTTGGTCTATTATTTCTAATAAATCGTGGTTCTGTTTAACAAAATGGCCCTTATACACTTAAACTGAGCAAAAGTAGCGAGATTTCAAAATATCCTTATACATTCAGAATATGCCAGCGGGACATATGCATCGTTGGTTTCTTCATACCTTTAATTTTTTTCTTTTATAGCCTTAATATATCCTCATCGATGAACATATAAGATTAGAACAGCGCTGACGATCCCTCTAGTTTTTATTTC